AGCGCCGGCTGGGTTATTTCCCGGCGATTTCGATTTCGCCGTTTTCCAGCGCCGACTGGGTTCTCTGTCGCACGGCTGGGGATTTCGGCGTCATTCTTCTCCGGCCATGATTCGCCATTTCTTTCCGGCGTGTTTGTGAATCCCGGCTGGTTTGGTCTCGCCGGCGATGGCGATTCTTGGCCGGTTTACCCAGCTCTGCCGGTTGTCTTCTCCGGCGAGCTTGTGATTTCTTAAAAAAAATAAATAAAAAATTGAATAAATATTAAAAAAAAAAGAAAAAAGAAAAAGAAAAGAAAAAAATTAAATAACTATAAAAAAAAAAAACAAAATTAAATAACATAAAATAATAATAATATTAAATATAAATAAATAAATAATACTAAAAAAATTAATTAAATAAAAAAATACATAAAAAATTTTAATAAAAAAAAAAAAATTTGAATTGATTTATTTTAGTATATATTTATTTCTTTTTAGTTTAGTATATATTTTTTCTTTTTAGTTTAGAATATTTTTCTTTGTGTTAAAAAAAAAAAAAAAAAAAAAAAAAAAAAAAAAAGAAAACATATCACAAAAATTTCAGAAATATGTGTCCCCGTTATGCCCTTCTGCTTAGTTATGCATGTTTTCATCTTTTACAAAGGGCTTGATATCATATCTCTTTACATCTTGTTCTATATTGTTTTGGAATGTATGCTTTACTTATCCCATTTGATATTTGATGTGAGTTGCTAGTGTGGCTTTTCTAGTAGGTTTTTGCGTCCAAGTTTGGGGGAGACCTCTTTTATCATGGATCATTGTCGGGCGTCCTAAACTTTTGCCATTACGGTATACTCTTTTCATTTCTTCCATTGTTCTCATTGCACATTGAGGACAATGTGCAGTTAAGTTTGGGGGTAAGGTAACCTTGTTACATTCTACTTTAAGTTGAGCTTTAAATGCATGATTGAGATTTGAGATACATTTGGCAATGATTTCGAATTTTTGAAGCATAGTGCCTTTAAAAAACAAGTTGTTAGAGTCTAATACTTCTTGTATGTTCTAGGATGCCATTTAGGGGTAAATTTTAATTTTTGACATTATGTTTGCTTTTGTGGTACACATCATCTTGTTGGTTGAAAATGCTTTGAGAGTTGATTCTAGAATTCTACATTTGCACTTGCGCACACTAGCATTCAATTTGTGGGATACATGCTTAGTTGATTATTGTCTTGATTTATCTCAATTGAGCTAGTATGTTTTGAAAGCTTTCATTCTTGATAAAATGACCTTACAGAAAAGAAATAAAAGCACTTACCAAAGTTGAAAAAAATAAAAAAAAATAAATAAATAAATAAAAAAAAAAAAAAAACTGCATTCTTTCAACATGTCAACTGATTAAAAAGGAAGACAAGGAAAGAATGTAAGATGTATGATTAGTTTGAGTTCGTAGCCTAGCCATTCCGAGTCATTACGCCCTTAGGAGTGTCTTTACACTTAACGCCCTAAGACCATCTGGTTTGGGAGTCGTTGGCTCAACGCTTGTTACATGGGGTGATTAGAGAGCTTAAGGAACTTGGACATTGCACATGGTCATACATAAAAAAATAAAAATAAAAATAATAAAAATGAAATCAATAAAAAAAAAAAATGTTTGATTGAATAACAAGGTTCATTCAATGTCTTGATGTCTGGTACTATATCTGTATGCTAGTTTGAGGGTAAGACTACGCCATTACTTTGATTTGCTAGGATAGCAACACATTTTGATGCTGGTTCACTCAAAAAGAATGATAGAATTGATTCAATTTGCATGATTAACTTGCTTGATGTGTGGAGGACCATTTTTGCTTACATGATGTTGAAATATTGAGAATAGCTTAGAAATGACAGAAATTTGCATACTTGAAGTAGTCTACTTTAAACACTTGTTTAGTATGTGTCGTTGCTTCTCAAGTAAGAAAGAGCTTTTGATGTTTGTGGGTACCATTTCTGGAAACCCTCACGAGACTTCACTCGTCCACTAGGGGTCACCTAGGGGTTTAAAAGGCTTGTTGCATATGTTAAATGCAACCGTGATCCCTACGAAAGTGGTGTTATCTTTATTTGCTTAATTAGTTCATAGTTGTATATATGTTTGTTTCATTTCCATGTTATAGTTCATTGCTAGGGACTAGCAATATCTAAGTTTGGGGGTGTGATAAGTGCTTAAATGTTGCACATTTCAGCACCTAAGTTAGGGTATTTCAGTCTTTGCATCTATCTTAAGTTTATGTTTTAGTCATAATTTATGTTTATGTGTATTTCAGGGCAATAAAGTTAAAATGAGCTAAGAAAGGTCCAATTAAGCCTTTTTGGAGTTAAGCAAATATTTTCAGAAAATGGCACAAAACGGTCAATCTCGGGCCTTTGATGATGTTCCCAAAGATGGAGAAGCAAACCAAATAGCCCGGGGCAAAAATGGAGCTGAATAAGGCTTAAAGGAATTTTCCAACTCTAGGGGATCGATCCCCCAGGGTGGGGGATCAATCCCCCAGGACTTGGCAACATTGCATATTTTTATTTTAATGTTTGGGCTTATTTTGTAACCTAGTGGGCTTTAATAGGTTTATTACTTAAGCCCAGCGAGGCCCATTGTTTTTAGGGTTAGTATTTATTAGTTTAGTGATTTATTATTTGGAGAATTAAAGTTTTGATTTTTTTTTTTTTAATCTGTATCGTGATATTGTTCTCTCTGAAAGAAAACGAAAGAAAGAAAAAAAGCGAGGGTTTCAAGAATATTTTTTACAGAGGCTTTGTTTACAGTTGAAGGAAGAAGAAGAAGGGCCAAAAGATGGAGATAGGACTTGTTGACACCATGATCATCTCCTCCATGAGCTAGTTCTTCACTTAGGGCTTGGATGAGCCCTAAGTTCATGTAACCTTAACCTTTGTATTTCTTTTCTTGGGAAATTATTATGTTGTAATTAAATTGTATGGCCTTGCGATTTCTTAATATATACATGCTTGATTTGATAAATTAGGGTTTGTATTGATAAATTCTTCCATTGAAATCTCCAATTGATTGTATGTCTATGTATGATTAATTAGGGATTTTATTCTTCATTAGATGATTAGAATTTAATTCTTCCATTGATTCTATATGAAAATTGCATGTCTAGGTGTGATTGATTTAGAATTATACTCTACACTAGATACTTCTTTTAGTTGTATTTAGTGATGGCCATAGCATGAGACTTAGTTGATACAATTGTCAATTAATTTGATGGATAAAGGCTTAATCATGATAGATTGTTTTACAAATTAGCTTATTTGTCATTAGTTAATTGTAGTAAAGTAGGCAATCTGTGCTTGATTATTTTAATCCATGCTTCTAATTACAATTAGTATTATCTTCTTGATTGATGTGTGCTCTTATTGGATACATTTGTGAATGTGTATGGTGGGTTATGACGTAGTCTTGAATGGGTTTTACACTTTAGTTTACTTGTCATTAGGTAGACAATTCATCCTTGATGTTGATAATCTATGCTTACAATTGTGATTTGTGATGATAATGTGACCACATCTATAATTACACTAATAAATTCCCCATTAATTGAAAGCATATGGTTAATTGCATGGGCTTAGTGGTGAATCCTAACCCTAAGACTCTCTTCCTATCTCTTTAATTCTTAGTTTAATGTCATTTCTATTTTCATGCTTTTAATTGAATTTTAGTTTAATCACTCCACCAAAATATTTTTCTCTCACACTCTTTCTCTCTCTCTCTCTCTTCTCTCTTTTACAATCTAATTAGCATTAAAATCAAGTTTAGTCCCAACACGTGTTCAATCCCTTGGGTTCGATCCCTTCTCACTTCATACTACATAGTATAAGTGTCTAGCGGTTTACAAATGTAAATTATGATGCCCGCTTGATACCATTTCCAAAACCAAAGTGTTGTGCATTATTTTGTGCACACGCTCGGGTCGCATCAAGAATTATATGACATAGGAAATCCCTGTTGATGCACCAACATCATCTAGAACATAGATTCCTGTATCCATACATTGTTGTAGTAGGAGGATTCTCATCCAATTCGACAGTCATGTTTTTAGATGAGATCTTTATGGACGTCCCTATTAAACACAAGTCAGACCCAATAAGCTACATGGAAGCGTGAACCGGTATGGATACATATCATTTTGGTAAGTTACTATAAAATAAGAGTGGAATCTATATATTCTAATAAAGTCTAGGATTTTATAGAACTACCAAGTAGGGTAAAACCTATTTGTGGCAAGTGAATCTGCAAGAGGGTACCAAACGATTTTGTAGTGAAAGGCTGAGATGATCATGTGTAGAAGTTGCAAAGGTTCATTTATGAACTCAGGCAAGCTTTACACACTTGCAAAATTCATTTTGATTAGGCAGTCAAACTATTGACTTCGAACAAAATGAGAATGAATCATGTGTGTACAGGGTAATGTCATTGAATTCCTCGTTCTATATGTTGATGGCATCCTGCTCATTGGTAATGAAATGGAAGTTTTTGTATCAATCATGAGGTGGATGTTTAACTAATTTTAAATAAAGGATCTTAGAGAAGTAGGTTATTTTTCAGGGATCAAGCTTTTATGAGACCAAGTTAAAAATAAAATAGGCTTATCTCATGCATCCTATAGTCAGTAGGTGTCAGTCCAATCCTAGACTTGATCACTGGATAATTGCGAAGAATATTGTAAAGTACCTTAAGAGAATAGAGAATCTTATCCTCATTTATGGAAATGATGATTTGGTCCCAGTCAGGTATGCAGACTCTGATTTTTAATCAGACGTAGATACTAAGAGGTCCACGTCTGAGTATATATGTTCACTCAATAGAAGGGAAATCAGTTGGTAGAGTGTTAAGTAGAATTCCACTACTGACTTAACCATAAAGGTGGAGTACATTGCATTGCAACCTGATCGGTTGATCAACTAACATCAACCTTCGCAATAGCACGAATCATTGTAAAATAGGGCTATTGGTCGGGTAAGTCGAACCACTGGGACTGCGCTAGTCTAAGGCAACCTAAGTGTTTAGAGTCATTCTTAGGATGATGAAGGGGTGTTCATAGAGGTTTTGTTTGTTGTCACTTAAATTAGGAATTCAAAGTGCATAAAACACTAATTTGCAAGGAATTTAGGATGAAAAGATTAAGAAGAGGAGACTAGGGAAGTGAATCCGCCTCCATCCCTATACATATGCTAGATTAGACCTAAATTTGGGGAAAAACAACATATGATGGTCAAGACTTACATAGCAACACATGGTTGCCATATAAGTAATCAAGAGGTACATTAGGTCTCAAACAAGTATAATCCATCAAAAGATAAACATGCTTAGACTACCTAACTAAGGTGTAGCTTATACACATTTACTTAAATGAGAGACTATCAAGTTCTTGACAAAATGATAAAGCACATGGAGTTAGAGATTAAGCATACACCATCAAAGGATTTCCTAAGCAATGGTCTATCAAGGTCACCTATCAACATGCCATGAAACCATTTCATAACCTTGCTTCCACTCTCACCATGAAAAACTCATGCAATATGATTACTCTAAGACATCATCTAAGACAAGATAATCAACTTAAAGAAATCATCCATACATGTATCAACATTCATTACAACAAATGAGGTGCTCTTGGTTATGAAAAGACCATAAAATATACATGGCAAATCCCCAAAATAGACTATCCTAGGACATGCTTACAAGGGAGGGACTTCATCACCTCCCTAGAGAAAGAGTTAGTTACCCATTGCTAAGCTAGAAGAAGGAAGAAGCTCCATCCAAGACTTCATTTTCATGCTCCTACTGTAGCACTCAAGAACACCCTCCTCCTTGCTCTCTTCTCTCTCCTCTATCTTGCTAAAATATTCAAGATAGCAAATGTGTGGCCTTTGGTAGCTTTTTATTCTCCAACAAAACCCTCTCTCTCTCCTCCAAGGAACACCTCCAACCACTTCATAAAGAAGGAAGATGGCATTGAGGAAACCAATGTGCAAGTGGCTGAAATTGAGCCATTTCTGAGTGCAATCTGCCTGATTTTCGAGCACTCGAAAAGTGATCTCGAGCACTCTAACTTAGTGCAATGTGCAACATGCTCCTCTTGCTCAGCGCTGACCTATTTTTGTAAAACTGCTATAACTTTGTGCCCCGAACTCCGAATGATGATCTGTTTGAATATTTGGAGAGCTGATTCAGTGCTTTAAAAACTTCATGTTTTGATGAAGACCCAATTCTCAAGTCTGGTTGGTCGAAAATGAAGATCAAGGCAGAATTGCATTGCTGCCAGGCAGTTCTGCGCACCTCTGGTAACAAGGCCATAACTCTCTGCTCCGAGCTCCGAATGACAAACCGTTTGAAGATTTGGAAAGCTGATTCAGAGATCTAAATCTTTCATGTTGTGAGGGAAGTCCAGTTCTTGAGTTTGCTAGGTCAAAATGGCGAGGAAAGTTCAGGATCTACTGCTGCCAGAAATTCAGTCTTGTGCCTTTTGATGGCCAAAACTCCACAAAGCATTCTTCTTGCTTCTTTTTGGCCAATGGACCTGAAAATGTGCAAAAACATACAATTGGAGATAATCTATATAAAATACACAAATAAAGAACTTAACTAATGCAATTTAGGGCGCTTGAATATACAATATTCGGCGCTTATCACACCCCCAAACTTACATTTTGCTAGTCCCTTAGCAAAACCAAAATGCAAAACTCAATGGAATGACAAACATGGGACTGCTACTAGAAAAATATCTACCATGGTAAAATAAAATAGATACATAGCTCAAATACAACTTAAAACAGACAAAAACTAGAGATGGGGTCATTGGGAAAACTACCTTGCATATATGAAGCATTGATACAAAAATTGGCTAAATACATTTCCACATACATGCATCAACATCAAAGTCTATATAAATAACTCAATTATCATCTCTTGAATGGAAATCAACTCTAGCTTCAGTGAAAGTGAATTGGATTCTCAACATGCGGCTTTTACATTCTTTTCCAATTCCCAAGCACAAGTTTTCAAATCATTGAATTCCCCTTTAAATGAGGTCCCTAAGGCATGATTTTATTTACAAGACAACTTTTGTTACTTGTTGACAATTTATTGCAACTCATAAGCGAAACATAGAATGGTTGTGCAATGCTGAAGTCCCTTAAACTTTCTAACCAACCCTTGTAGCAAGCGTTAGGCCAACAACTCCCAAACCAGATGGCTTTAGGGTGTTAAGTGTAGAGACATTCCAAAGGGCTTAATAGCTCAAGTTGGAAAGGCTACGAACTCTAGCGAACCATGTTTATTACAATTTTTTTGAATGACCGTACAATGTTTAAGTCCTTTAAGCTTTCTAACCAACCCTTGTAGCAAGCGTTAGGCCAACAACTCCCAAACCAGACGGCTTTAGGGTGCTAAGTGTAGAGACACTCCTAGGGCTTAATAGCTCGAGTTGGAAAGGCTACGAACGTCAACTGGTCATTTTTTTCTTTCTTTCTCAGTTTTTTTTTTTTTTTAGATAACTTAAATCATGCCAAAGATATTCATCTATCAGGTTCATCAAATCAAATTAACTAAGCCAAGGTCAAGGTCAATCAAGTTGCGTGCCTCACAGTTAAGTTTCCAATGTGCATCTGTGCATTGTGAAGCTTAAAAGAGTGTCAAATCCAGCGAGAATCTAATTGAGACATTTATATAGACTGATTTGAATCCACATGATCATTTCAACTCAAATTTTTTTTTATTTTCAAAAATTTCAATTGCTTCTATACACAAGGTATTAAACATATGTTTCATCTCCGACAAGTGTCAAGTTATACTATCATTGCTTAGCAAAAATTATGAAACCAAAAATGTATAAATGCACCCCCAAACTTGAATGACACATTGTCCTTAAGGTGTGAAGACAAGCATACCAAAATAAGAGCCAAAAGGGGGGGAAAAGAACAATAATACCAAGTGGAGTGACGACGACGTAGATGTTCAGCTATGTGAGTGCGCAAAAGCGTCCCCCAAACTTGGACAGGAAGACCTGTCAAAACACAACTAATATACACATGTAAAAGCATAGGCTCTTAAGAAAAATCAAAACAGAATTAAAAACACTAACCTGAATTGTAGTGCAAGATAAAAATCCAAACAAAACACAAATGCAGACATTAGCCACAAGTGTAAAATGGATAGCAAAAGAATGCCAAAAGTGTGCCATTATTTATTTATTTATTTTTTTTTTTTTTTGAATGGCATGCATGAGGGTGTTGTGGAGGAATTGAGGATGAGGTTGATTGAGTGTGAAGGGTGGTGGGTGGTTAGGGAGTGAAGGTGCCGAGAGAGAGAAGGCTTGTGTGAGGGTTGGTTGGTGAATGAGAGAGGGGTGAAGGTTGGGGTGGTGGTCGGTTTGGTTGGTGTGTGCATGGTGTTGATGTGAATGGTTGGGATTGTGTTGGGAGGGTGGCCGTGGAAGGCATGCATGGTTGAGGATGATGAGAGGTTGCTGAGAGGTTAGTTTGTCGGTTGAGGTGGTGGAAGTTGATGGTGTATGCAAGATGCCGAGAGGGTGGGGTTGGTGTTGGAAGCTGAGGGAAATGAGGTGTGGGTTGCTTAGGTTGCATAAGGATTGCATGGTGGATGAGATAGAGAGATTGGTGATTAGGTGTGTTGAATGAGAGAGAGAAAAGGTGGAGGTTGGTTGGGTTTGGGTTCATGCATGGGAGTTTCCGAGATGAGGGGGCATGGTTGTGTAGCTTGGTAGGGAGAGGGATGGTTGAGAGGGATGGCATGCATGCTGTTAGAGGAGGTTGTGGGTTGGAGAAGAGAGAAGATGGTGGTGTTGGTGTTTGATTGAGGTTGCATGGTGGAGTGGGTTGAAGGAGGGAGATAGGAGTGGATGCCGAGAGGGTAGGGTGGTGGTTAGTTGGCATGCAAGGGTGGTTGCATGCTTGGGTTGGCCTGGATGAGATGGCCGAGAGGAAGAGAAGGCGATGAGGGTGAGGCAACGAGTGCTCGGGGCGTTGGCAATGGAGAGAGAAAGAAGGTGGAGTTCGAGCACTCCAAATAGGATCGGCGAGTGCTTGAACTGAGAGCAGTGAGTTGGGTGGGTTGGTGCATGAAATTCGAGCACTCAAACTAGAATTTAGAGTGCTCGAAAATGGCTCAGTAGGCTCGGGGGTGAGCTCGGCTGTGAGGACTGAAATTTGGAGCAATCCAAATGGAATTTAGAGCGCTCTAAAATTGGGCAGTGGTGCATGCAAGATTGGTTCACAATTGGAGCACTCTAAATGGAGCTAGATTGCTCGAAATGAAGGTAGTGACTTCGGCAAGTTGGTGTGGTAATTTGGAGCAATCCAAATGGAAGCTAGAGTGCTCCAAAAATGGGCAGTGAGCTTGGGATTGATGGTGAAGACATTTGGAGCAATCCAAATGGAATTTAGAGTGCTCCAAAATGGGTAGTAGCTCATGGAATTTTGGTTAGATCATTCGAGCACTAGAATCTTGGCCCAGTGAGCATTTTGAGTGGATGCAATTGCTGAAACAAATGTGTCAAACTTTGCAACATCTTGCTAATGCATGAATATAATTGGAAAAAATTTCAAAATGTAACACATTTCCAATGTATGGATGAATTTTGAACTTTGCAAATTCATTCCATTCCAATGCATGGATGGAAAATTTTTAAACTTGGCATGCCATTCCCATGCATGGAAAGATTTTTAAAGCTTTGCATGGCAGTTGGAAAAATATTTGAAAACTTTGCATGCCATTCCATGCATCGAAAATTTTTCATGTCATTCCCATGCATTGAAAAATCATTGCAAGCAGCAGCTTCAATTCAAGCCATGCATGGAAAATTTTAAAACTTTGCACATTATTCCAATCTAATGCATGGATGGATTTTTGAAGCTTTGCATGCATGGAAAGAAATTGAAATTTTGCATGGGACAATGCATGGGGAATTTTGAAAAAATTTTAAACATTGCAAATGCATGGAAAAATTTTAAACAATGTAAGAATTTCAATGAATGGATGATTTTGCGAAAATTTTCAAGAATGTATTACAAATGAGACATTATGCACATGAGTAGCATTCCCAAGATCCGATGAAATTGCTAGGAAGCGATGGAAATTTCCGGGAATGAAAATTAGAGTTGAGAAGGTCTAAGAAAAATCAAATTTTTGGCTTTTCTAAACCGTTTCCCAGAAAATTTTGCAAGGCACGAGCAATTTCAAAGAGAAGGAAGCTTGGAAATTGAAAGAATTGCCTCCCTTGCTTTGCTAAATTTAATATCGATAGCTAGACGAAGTTAGAGCAGGTACTAATCCTCAAAAATCTCGATAGCTAGACACACCGAGATCAGGTTAGTCCTCCTTACCCGATACCATGTCTCTCAAGAGATTCAAGCTTCCCCAAATAGGATAATTCTTTTAAAAGCGAAGGAGGAAGAGCTTGAAGACAAAAGTGGAAAAGAGGTAGCGGAAAGACCTCAACCCACTCTTCATCCTCAATGAAGAACTTTGGATTATAGGGCTTATTTGAATTATAGGAAGATGGAGTAGGTGAGAGTGCACCTAGCAAAGGCTTTTGAAGGGTCATATTGAGCACGGGAATGCTCGACAACTTGTCCTTCAAAATTTCAACATCCTCCTCACACTTATCCGGCGGTTTGGGCTCAACAACTTGAGACAACTCAAATGAGGGAATGGGATGAGATGCAAGCTCCCAAGAAAGAGATACATTTGATGTTGACCAAGGAAGAGAATGAATAGGTGGATGAATATTAAGCAAAGAATTCACCTCCGAAATGGAATTGTCAACATTAAAATCCTCACAATTGAAATGAGCCAAACAAGCTTTTAGAGGATCCTCCATTGAAGGAGGTGCATCGAGCAAAGGATTATTTAGGGGTTGTTCTGGAGTTTTAAAGGATGCAATCTCATCATCTTTTTCCTCATTTTTAACCACAAATTCTTCCATTTTATGAGTGGCAACAATTTGATCTTCAACCACCATTTCATCATTTTCACATGTAATAACCACTTGATCATTCTCATGATGAAAGTTACTAGGAGTAATCTCATCATTCATAGAATTTTCTTTTGGATTGGCCATAAATTCAAATGAAAATGTTTCCTCCTCTTCATGATTTTTAGCATTAATCCTTTGTTGAATTTGAGATATTTGGTCATCTATCATTGCACTAACTTGGGACTGGTGATATGGTACCACTTGATTGATAGACTCTACTGTGGATTGCATGCTAGCAAGGGAGGCCAATAGTTGATTGTTGGAGTCCATCATTTGTGTGTGCATAGACTCCATCATTTGTTTGTTAGCAACAATTAGCTCATCCAATGGAGACGGTGGAAAAGGAAAAGAGGGCTGGAAATAATGATCATTGGGTTGAAAATTGGCTTGAAAATGTTGCCCATGAGATTGTGGGGCTGAATTTTCCATGTCATGCCACAAGAAATTTTGGTGATCTCCCCTACCCGAGTCATAACCATTGAAGTATGGATCACTACCCGATTCAGAGAAATTTGCATTTGGTTGCTCTAGATAAAAATCCGAGAATTGTCTCGTTGGAAAACAATCTCTTGTATGATGTGTATTACTAGAGCAAAAAGCACAAAACGCATGTGGTGTGTAGAATTGAGTTGGAAGATAACTACCCTCCATCTAGGACTTAAACATCAACAACACATAACATAATCAACACAACAATTCTTTATCATCAACTCCACATACAATGATCCCTTTCTCCTCAATTATCAACAAGATAGGAAATAAATGGCCACGACAAGAACCGATGCTTTGCAATATAGTAAAACAAAAATAGCCTCGATAAGGGCTTCACAAATAAATTAACTACTTCTAAGCTTAACACATGCACAATATCCACAATTCGAAACTAGAAGTCACAAGACTTACCTGGGGTCCTCTAGACTCACAATTTGCTAGCGTTCCCACGGCGAGTTTCGAGTCCCTAGAATCTCACAAACACGAAGATGATCAAAAATACACAAGGAGTATTCACAAGACACAATATTCACAATCAAACTAAAATTAACCCTAGAACTTTGGTAGCTAAACCGTTTGCAGTCCCCGGCAACGACGCCAAAAATTGATCGGTTGATCAACTAACATCAACCTTCGCAATAGCACGAATCATTGTAAAATAGGGCTATTGGTCGGGTAAGTCGAACCACTGGGACTGCGCTAGTCTAAGGCAACCTAAGTGTTTAGAGTCATTCTTAGGATGATGAAGGGGTGTTCATAGAGGTTTTGTTTGTTGTCACTTAAATTAGGAATTCAAAGTGCATAAAACACTAATTTGCAAGGAATTTAGGATGAAAAGATTAAGAAGAGGAGACTAGGGAAGTGAATCCGCCTCCATCCCTATACATATGCTAGATTAGACCTAAATTTGGGGAAAAACAACATATGATGGTCAAGACTTACATAGCAACACATGGTTGCCATATAAGTAATCAAGAGGTACATTAGGTCTCAAACAAGTATAATCCATCAAAAGATAAACATGCTTAGACTACCTAACTAAGGTGTAGCTTATACACATTTACTTAAATGAGAGACTATCAAGTTCTTGACAAAATGATAAAGCACATGGAGTTAGAGATTAAGCATACACCATCAAAGGATTTCCTAAGCAATGGTCTATCAAGGTCACCTATCAACATGCCATGAAACCATTTCATAACCTTGCTTCCACTCTCACCATGAAAAACTCATGCAATATGATTACTCTAAGACATCATCTAAGACAAGATAATCAACTTAAAGAAATCATCCATACATGTATCAACATTCATTACAACAAATGAGGTGCTCTTGGTTATGAAAAGACCATAAAATATACATGGTAAATCCCCAAAATAGACTATCCTAGGACATGCTTACAAGGGAGGGACTTCATCACCTCCCTAGAGAAAGAGTTAGTTACCCATTGCTAAGCTAGAAGAAGGAAGAAGCTCCATCCAAGACTCCATTTTCGTGCTCCTACTGTAGCACTCAAGAACACCCTCCTCCTTGCTCTCTTCTCTCTCCTCTATCTTGCTAAAATATTCAAGATAGCAAATGTGTGGCCTTTGGTAGCTTTTTATTCTCCAACAAAACCCTCTCTCTCTCCTCCAAGGAACACCTCCAACCACTTCATAAAGAAGGAAGATGGCATTGAGGAAACCAATGTGCAAGTGGCTGAAATTGAGCCATTTCCGAGTGCAATCTGCCTGATTTTCGAGCACACAAAAAGTGATCTCGAGCACTCTAACTTAGTGCAATGTGCAACATTCTCCTCTTGCTCAGCGCTGACCTATTTTGGTAAAACTGCTATAACTTTGTGTCCCGAACTCTGAATGATGATCTGTTTGAAGATTTGGAGAGCTGATTCAGTGCTTTAAAAACTTCATGTTTTGATGAAGACCCAATTCTCAAGTCTGGTTGGTCGAAAATGAAGATCAAGGCAGAATTGCATTGCTGCCAGGCAGTTCTGCGCACCTCTGGTAACAAGGCCATAACTCTCTGCTCCGAGCTCCGAATTACAAACCGTTTGAAGATTTGGAAAGCTGATTCAGAGCTCTAAATCTTTCATGTTATGAGGGAAGTCCAGTTCTTGAGTTTGCTAGGTCAAAATGGCGAGCAAAGTTCAGGATCTACTGCTGCTAGAAATTCAGCCTTGTTTTTTTTGATGGCCAAAACTCCACAAAGCATTCTTCTTGCTTCTTTTTGGCCAATGGACCTGAAAATGTGCAAAAACATACAATTGGAGATAATCTATATAAAATACACAAATAAAGAACTTAACTAATACAATTTAGGGCGCTTGAATATACAATATTCGGCGCTTATCACAACCTCACAGGCAGCAATGGAAGTTTTCTTGTTTAATCTTAGTGATTTAAAGGTTTTGGAGCATACTTGCCTACCTATCAAGCTCTATACAATAATAGTGTGGAAGTAACCCAAACCAATGGCCCTAAGTTCCATAGAGGAACAAGGTACATTGAGAGAAGTATCATGCTCTACATAATACTTTCCCATCAACAAAATGTACTTATTATCAAGATTACATTGGAACACGACCTTGTTGATCCATTCATAAAGGCGCCGTCAATCAATTGTTTTGATCGTCACTTGGATAACATGGGAGTTAGATGCAATTCGAATTGGCTATAAGGGCAAGTGGGAGATCGTTGGGATTTGTATGCCCTGGCATAGAAAAATCTTACTTGGATTGTATAAACATTGTTCCTTATTTGAAATGACATTTATGTATTATACAATTGGTGAACACTAATGTATTATGTTTTTGATTCATGATGGAATTGAATATGTTCCCTTGGTTGTAAGAGATATTTATATATATGTGATGGTGATCAATACAAGAATATAAATAGCGATCATAAATAGCTCATTGTCAATAATTAAGGATAAACTCTTGATTAATTTAGACTTGAATCGGATCTAGGAGTGCACACAGTTCGGTTTCGTACTGTTCCGGTCGGAACCGGAACCATTCACAACGGTTCCTTAAAAAGGGAACCAGAACCGGAACCGTATAGGTATGGAACCGAACCGAACCGAACAGAATGTTAGTGTTGTTCCATTACTTAACAGAATACAATAACAAAAATATAAATATAAATATAAATAAATACAGAATATAGTGTAAGCCGCAATACAGATCGGAGAAGTCTGAGATGGTGTATAACAGTGTAAGCCGCGATACAGATTACAGAAGAGAGGATGAGGAGTGAGGATGAAATCTGAATCGACTGAGTGTAGAGGATCTGAAGATGAGAGGAGGCGAGGCTTTTACTACCGAGGGCGATGAGGATTCAAGGAAGCTTGAGATTCAGTGACTAGGGAGGTGAGGGTTAGCTCCGTGCGGGAATCGTCGGAACAACTCTGGTCACGCCCTCACCAGAGCCTAATCTCGTGTGACGACCTTAGATTTTACAAACCCAGTGCATCCTGTGATGACCCGAAACTAATCCAAAACTGCAGAAGCTAAACATAAACAAGTTTTTAGAGATGTACATCATCCCTAAGATATAAGAATGACCTTCTGATAAGTCCTGTGACTCAACGGAAGCAAGACTAAAGTTAGAGTTTTAAAACCCTCTAAGGAAAGGACCAAGGGAAAAATGGTCATTCCAAACTAAAATAGGTGCCACCGTACACACTATTGGAAAGACAACAAAAAATTAACAAAGATAAACTCAAGAATCACTTGATTCAGAGTCCGGACGGCAAAGATATCAAGTTTTGCAGTCAAAGAAAGAGAAACTCCATCCCGGTTCGAACCAAATCCTGACACTATCTCACTAAAACTTGAATATCTCGATGTATAAGTGGAATCTAAAACTATAATTAGTACCATTAGAAAGTTTATTTCGACGTGGTCAGTTTAAACTCAAGAATGGACCAATTCGGAGTTAGAACAAAAGAGATACAATAATTTGAAATCGGAGGAGCAGTGCTGAAACAAAGTGCACACACACACAGATAGATGGACGAGCGCTCATCCAAGGGCGACGAGCACTCATAATTGGGCACGCCCTTGCTGTGCCCACTGCCCAATCTTCGAGCACTCGTCTACTGATAAGCAAAACTAAAAACTGAACTTGAAATGTGATTTTGAGGACTTTCTGAGCCTTTCTGAAAAAAATACAAAGAAGAAACCCCTCCCAAAATCATGTTTCCTAGCCAACCATACCAAAAGAAAACTTTATTTTTCATGTGAAAACCCCAAAATGCCCTTATGCATAGTTTTTGGCATAAAAAGTGCAAAATGAGTCCATAGGAGGCTCAAATCACCAAAGAAATGGTTTTACCGAGAAACGATCATGCACACAGACGTAACTTACCTATTAAGACGTGCTACAATGATCCACGGCTTAAAAATACCGCCAATGCAAAATATGACCTATCCAAATCCCAATACGTGAAAAATACCTTTTAAAGGTAAACAATGCAACAACCGGACTTAGATGCAATCAAAAGACTGTTTAGCCCTTGGCCACATGTCATACATATTAAATAAGTGCTAATGAGTGTGCACGTGCGCTCTTTGCACCACCCGAATTGAAAATGAATTCCTAAAGCCTCTTATTTTCCTAATTTTACTAAAAAATGCAATATATGAAACCCAAATGTAAAACTAAGAATAAAATGGTGTTTGACCCTTAGCCACACCTCATACATATTAAATGAATGGCAAATAATGAATTTCATACCTAATACACACTCCGATGCATAAATGACACGTTAAAACAAATGGTTTTCATATTATTCTCATTAAAGGCAATTTTTCAAATTTATTACATTTATGTGATTTCAAATAAGGTTTGGCCCTTGGCCACATATCATATGCATAAAATAAACGTCAAAAAGTGTACTTAGGCACACATTACAAGTCTCAAGGTAGAAATGACATTTTTAACCTAACTATGCATTACAACTTGAAAAGTAAAACTCAAACATGCTAACACTTACATGTGAACAAGAATACAATTAAAAGAAGTTCAATTCAACAAAATGACTCAGGGATATTGTGCATCCCGAAATCACGTCTTCTTGCCTAAAACAGGTTACATTCAGTGAGGGGTGAGTAACCTGTATTACTCGTAGGGAATAAGCATGTATAGACCTAACTTTTTACAAGATTATCACATTAACGTAAAACAATTCAAAAGAGTTATGTCACCTAACGTCTATGTTATAAATGAGTCTATGGGATCATCTCAAGCTAGACTAGCAATTGAAATAAACGATAAAATACAAGTATACATGCTCAAGTATACAAAACAATATTAAACGCCATGCACGTCATATAAGCGTATAACTTATAAGTACACTAAACCATGTTAAATCAAGATATGCAATATCTAAGCATACATACATAAATATACAATTAATATGGGAATCTCGTAAATCAAGTACACAAATACAAGTATATTACGCAAAATGAATTGCGCATAAGACAAGTATACACGGCACAAGTATACAAGTTCAAGTACACTAAAACAGATTCAAATACACAAACAAGTACACTAGTTCAACTATACTAAATGAGATTTAAAAATGCAAGGCAAGTATCAATTCACAAGTTACAAGTAATCCATGATTAACTACTTGGAGTTTAATGCAAAATCAGATAGTGGAAAAACTACGATACTTGATCACAGACCAAGCAAGTTATTATAGGCAATTATGACTCACAAGGTACTGTCTACTGCACGCGTGTATAAGTTATTCTGGGTAATTACAACCCATAAGGTACTACCTATTGCGCACTTCATATGACTAAGGAAACTCTTGTCTCCGTACTAGAGCCAAACTCTAGCCATCACATGTACATTTTCCTTACAAGCCTTCTAAAATCAATAAGTTCAAAACTTATACAAAATCAATAAGTTAGACTAAACTTATACAAAATCAAATAATGCATAAAAACCATCTTCCATGCACAAGTAAAGTTGAAACCACACAAACCATGTCCTAAAATTTTAGTCTAAATGGCATATGATATGTCAAGTCCTCGATATGCAGTTTATACACAAAACAAGAATATTTTACAACAATTGAATTAAATTACCATCCTAAGCCACAAGTACTAAATAAGTTATAATTTAGTAACTAACTTTCAAGGTAATCAATTGTAATATTTTAAACAAGTTTATACCTACGCAAGATATATTTAAACAAGCTTTGCAATACAATAATATCACGATTTAACCCACCTCCCAAGTGGAATTATGATAGCTGAAGAATAGTTTTGACTTTTTTTTTGCATTGTATGATTCCATATAGCTCACATTATCTTTGATTCACCGTGGTTTTGATGATAATCTGCTCCTTGTCTAAAATTTCCATGGTGATAGCATATTGAATGGCCTATATGTGATTATTGTGTGTTTTGTTTGGTTAAATCTTCATGCAATTTTTTTTTTTTTCATTAAATCTTAATGTGATTACTGATTGATATGGTCTTTTTTTTATGGTCTTTTTAATTATACTTGTGAGTTTGAATGTCCTAAATATTATTATTGATATTCTTTTCCCACAGATCGACTCAACCCAACCCTTACACAAAAATACTGGAATCCTTCCTATAATCAAAATCACTGGTTTCAGAGATAGCCCTGAATTATGGATAACAAAAACCAAAGAGTAGTTTGGTATTCGATACCAATAAATCGTTTAGACATTATTATGCGGAGGCTCTTCACATGGCTTTAATGAAAGTGATTCAGATATTAACATCTTATACTTCCATTTCAATTTGAAAACGGTTTATTTTGAGAAAACAAAGGATATGGAAGTTTACCTTTACTGCTATAGGAACAAGCTCGGATCTCTCAAGTGGCAGCTTAAGCCAAACTCCCTTCTTTAGTTAAATCACAAAAGGCTGTGAGTGCCCTGAATAAACTGGATATACTTCAAACAGCAAAAAAAAAAGGATTTTATCTAGTTGTGCAAAAAGATCTCATGGCTAGCAGCTCTGCAGAAATAAAAGAAATAGTGGAGAAAACAGATGCATAAAGTGTTTGGAAAATACGTAAGCTTCCACCTATACGGAACAAATTAGCACTTTGCACTTTTGACAAATGATCACTTGTATGAAATCTCAAAACAGAAGCTCATCTGAAGTCATGATTTCTCAGGAAGGAAAACGAGTCAAAAACTTTTAGTATGTTATCTCGAATGTGAATAAATAATTGGCCTAACCAGTGACGAATTCGTGAGCATAGTGGTTCTGGAAGTCCAAAATTCAGAACAAATCCTGATGAAATTATTTTATCCAAATTTGCAAGAGAAGTCTTCATGACAATATAGTTACATACACTGGATCTCAATAATAGCTATAAGTAACATTCAGCTTCTTGTATAGAAAATGAAACTACCGAATGACAATTGAAGCACGTTAGGACTTATAAACATAGTGTATCTGTTCTTGAAAACCCACTATGGATTTTGCTTTCTGTTGATGTATAGTTCTATTTCAAAACCATACCATCTTCGCTTTCAACAGTTAATTGTTAAGCTTAAATTTTTTGATACTGAACAAAATGATTGAAAACAAATACTTTTCTGGAGGAAAAGAAAAGAAAACTTGGAAATCTTACAACAAAATGAGATTAAAATGGTTGTTGTAAGTGAACCAAGTTTTATTTTCTTTTTTGATTTTCTCAGAAACCCAATTACCCAATTAAGCACAAAAAGAAAATCCTAATTCAACAATGGAAAGCAAAACAATTACTTCTGCAAGAACATGACTGTGGAGAGATTTTGACACCAAACAGCTGCTTTGTGTTCAGAGATGGACTAGAATCATAGTACCAGAATAATATGAATTATATCAACACGGTCAATAGCCCTATTATCCAAATTCTACCAAAATAGAAAGAAACAAATACAAATATAAATATAAATTAAAAAGCAAAAGCAACCAAAACCTTGATCATGATTGTATCTCCACGGAAAAGCTGCAACTTCTCCATGGTATCAGGGTGCATCGCGACCACCGAGTTGTCGTCATTAACCGCCCGACGAGTCGATTCGCCGCTTTCTTGCGCTCTAAGATTGCGATCGAGAAATCCTTCTTCCCACATTTTCTGAAAATTCATAAAAATAATTATTCGAAATCGTCAAACTCAGTGAACAATCTCAGATCACATCATGGATTATGAAGTAGTTGAGAATGATAGTAAAAAAGAAGTGAGTTAATTCACTCTGATTTACGAGTTGGAGGGACTCCCGAGTCAGAAGATTCAGCTGCTTCGTGGCTCATCTTCGAACGAGAATAGAGATGGAGGCGATTGGGGAGTTGCAGAGAGAGGGGGGGCAAGTTCAGAGTTGAGAACGAGAATAGAGATGGAGGCGACTGGGGAGTTGCAGAGATAGGGGGGAGCAAGTTCAGAGTTGAGACCGAAAATAGAGATGGAAGCGATTGGGGAGTTACAGAAAGAGAGAGAGATGGAGGCGATTGGGGAGGCTGAAGAGAAACCTAGGGCTCGGTAAACTTAGAAATAATGGTAAATTAAGGAAATTAAAAAGTGAAAAAATATTAGAGTAAATTTCGCACTTACCAGCGTTTTGTTAGCAAACGCGGCTAAAACATGCTAGTAAAAGGGAAAATTATATATAAATGGAGTCAAAGTTCCATATTTACTTAGAGGCTGAGTCAAAGTTCCATATTTTTCTAAAATGAATTGCTGAGGTGGCACATGGTTTTTTACTGTTTAGAAATTATGGTGCCTAAAATACCCTTCCGTGAAGGTATTATTTTTTCTTCGAAGGTATTACTTTTTTGAACTGAAGGTACTACTTTTTGGCGTTCAGGTACCATGTTTTTTAAATACCCGCGAAGGTACTCCTTTTTCTCCGAAGGTACTACTTTTTTGAACCGAATGTACTACTTTTTTGAACTGAAGGTACTACTTTTTTGTTAGGGAAGGGCATTTTAGGCATCACAATTTTCTAAACAGTAAAAAACCATGTGCCACCTCAGCAATCCATTTTAGAGAAATATGGAACTTTGACTCAGTCTCTAAATAAATATGGAACTTTGACTCCATTTATATGTAATTTTCCCCTAGTAAAACCCTAATATGCTGCAGTGACATTACCAGTTAATTTCATGCTATTTACAACAATGTGAACTAAATTTTCATAAAAGAAAATTATTAAAAAAAAGTTGCAATACTTATTCAAATATTCCCAATTTAATATATGTTAATGAATATATCAAGACCTAATTTAATAGCATGTCACAATTTAATTCTAAGCAATATACATCCATGTGAATTAAATCTTATACAAAGAAATAATTAAATTAAATTTCTAGATTTAATACAAAGGCATGTAAACAAGCTGTATAAGCATGGCAAACACTCAATACAATACATACATAATTCTAAAACATCCCCTACCTCAATTTGAGATGAAAATCTTAAAAGCCACCAAATGGAAACTACCCCGAATTCGACGATATTTCGGGATTTTATCAGGGATAACAAGGTGAACATTAAACCCCAAGGAGGTCACACCAAAATCCAAACTTGGCTTTAAACCTGAACTCGAAAAATGGCCGAAACCAGATTCTAATAAGGGAGAAAGGACCGCCTCGCCACGACCTACGATAAATACTAAGGCACTACGGCATTTTTCAAGAGGGAAGTGGCCGGAAAAGAAGGAAGAAGGGTGGCAGCCCCTTGGGCTGCCATGGCCGTCAGACAAGAGAGGGAGAAGATGATGAAATGTTGACTTTTCATTTTAAGTCCCCCTATTTATATAAAAACTCTAAAAGCGCCCCGAAGGGCACCGCCAGGTCCGAAAAAGTGAAATTTGAGCAAATATGCTCAAATAGAAAAATAACTTGAACAAAAAAGAGCCGAAATGGGAAAACATGAATAACAAAATAAACGACATCGAAAACTGAGTCCCGAACAGAGAGATATGCCCCAAACAAGTTTGGCGGCAACTAGGGTCAAAAACTTAAAAACTGGGGAGATCGATCACAAGATAATTCTAAGAGTATACGACTCGACGAGATGTGAAAATGAATTCTGTACGAGGATCCAAGCCCCAAGGAGATACTTTGTAATTAACTTTCATTAATTACACAAAAGCCCCTACACAAAAGGATAACTACGCAAGTGACCTAAGATATTTTCTTAAAAACCCCTAAATCAAAATATCTTAAAAAGATATTTATGAAAAATACCTCAAGAAACGAAAATGATTCTAAAGAATTTTTTCATCCACGCCCCTACGGCAAAAAGAAACAACCGACGAACTTTTCTCTAAAAGTAAAGCTACGCATAACAAGGAAACCAACTGGGATAGAAGCACGTGGAGTCAAAAACCAACTATGAGCACGAAGAGTGAGGTTACGTGAAAGGAAATTTCAGGAAAAAAATTTAATCCGTAAAAATGAAGAAAAAAGGAAAGGAAGGAAAATGACCGAGTTATTACATCTCGATCACCCAGAGGTTTTGGAAGAAACCCATGTGAGAATTCCAGAGAATGATAGTGAATTGGTTAGGTGTAATACCCCTAGTTTTAAAAAGGATAAAATTGGAATTTCAGGTATTTTTATTTCATTTTTTATGTGACTAGTTGTTTAAGTGTGTAATTGTTTGACTTTGTTATTTGATTTAATTGTGGTTTAATTGTTTAATTATGGAGGTATACTTGCATTAATTGTTTTCTGGTGTTTTTGAATTGTTTTATTTTTTTTAAATGTGTTTGGTATTTTTTTTCATTAGTTGAAGTAATTTAGTAATTTTAATTTTAATATAATAAGTTAATTAATTTTTGTTGGATTACGTTAATAATTATTTATGTTTTCTGTTAAGAGGTCCAGTAGTTGGAAGCAGACAAGGGTTATAACGCGGGTTTTATCCTATGGCCGATTAGGGTTTAATCTAGGTTTTCTATATTAGATTATCATTAGAATTAGGTTTTATCTATGCCTATATATATACTGTTATTGTAATACCCCGTAATTTTAAAGAGTTTATTTAAATTAATTTTGTGTTAGGTTAATTCTTTAATGTATGGAGTTATTCACCTTTTTATTATATATGCTAAATTATTTAATTAATTTTATTTATTTGTGCATGTAATATTGATTTTTTTTGTTCTATATATTATAATGATTAGTTTAGACATTTTATTGGTTATGTTTTAGATTAATTAATATTATTTAAATTAAAGTATTTAATTTGTATTATAATAATAATAATAATAATAATAATAATAATAATAATAGTATTAAATCAATGTAATGATGAAAAATTAAATCTTAGGATAGGATTTCATTCCCATAGTTGAACCTTAGGACATTTTGCTTGACTTGGCTTGCTTGGCTTAAATGTTATAGGTACGGATGTGAGAAATGGGTGAGAAGTTAATATAAATTAGATATTTGTATTATATATATTATATAAGTTTGTATATATATATTAGTTAGCCAACTTACCCTTAAGGCAACTCACTTAAGTTAGAAAGCTTAAAAATTACAGAGAGCTATTTTATAAGAGTGAAAGGAAAAGAGAGAGAGAAAGAAGCTTGGACCGGTGTAGGCGATTTTACCCGACTACGCGCAACCGGCGGAATTATTTTAAATCCATAAGGCAAGTTATTATCTACTTTTCCCCTTTGAATTAATAAATTAATTGTTTAGTTTATTTTTATGCATAGAGACCAGGTTAGGAGGTTAATAAATTATTAATTTTAGTTTATTAAATTAATGAAATTTTAATTATATAGGACGGTATATATTTATTTAATATCCTATGAAATTTATAATGGCTGAAAATAATTAAATAAGGCTTTAGGGATTTTTCTAGAATTTTCTAGATTTTTCCGGGGCTTTTCTGCAATTTCCGGCGAGCCTCCGGCGAGGTTTCCGGCCACCGGCAGTGAAGAAGATGACCGGAGTGATCCAGTGTGATGCGGCGCATTGTAGGTTAGTGCGCGCGTGCATCCTGGCCATTGGTAGAGTCTGATTGATCCGGTGCATCGCAGTCCATGTTACTGCAGTACACCCGGATCAAGAACCTTTGGATTAGGTAGATTCATCCAGTGTAGCGCGCCCATAGCAAGACCATGCAACCAACGAATCAGCAAGTGCCGCGTCATCAGGATGCATTAGTGCGCGCGTGGCAGCGCGTGCGCGCGCGTGGGAGGTTCTAGACGCGCGTGAAGGCGCGTGTAAGCGTGTGCGCGTGTGAGAAAAGTGGCGGCGCGTGTGGGAAGCTCTGGGAGGCGCGTGGGGGCGCGTGAGGGACCCCTACAGTTACTGGAAAAGTCCAGACTACCCCTAGGGACTGCTTTGTAAATTCCAGAACCTTAAACGTGGATTTTTAGGTACTGTGTTGGTATTTACGGGTTTAACGGGCCACGAAATTATTATTTTAATACCCGGTAATTATTCTTATGGCCGATTAATCTTTTCTAAGCATTTATTGGCTCGTTTACAGTACGGTTATTAATGTGATTTATTTAATGACATTGTTAAATATAAATAGTGTTAATATCTTATTAAATGGCATCAAACATTACTGTTAAATTAAATAATGCCATGGTTTTAGTCATATAAATTATCCATGATATCTTATGGGATGTTTATACTGCTAAATGATATATACACCATGATTATTATGCTGTGTGCATTTCAGGAAATAAATGGACTGTTTAATTATGTCACATTTATATTATATGGATGTGTTGCCATATAGAACCATATGAGCTGGCTAATAAGTTTGGACTCATTTATACCTTATGCATTCGTTGCGATAGACAGATGTGTGGTTGTCGGGGTATGTGGTTTAATATTATTGGCATGTGTTGCCTAATTGACATGCTCAGTATATTTAGTAATATTATTAGCATGTATTGCCTAATTTATATGCTCAGTATATTCATCAGTACTTTGAGAGGTGTTATCACTGTGTAGTTCGTTATAGTCTGTGTTGTCAGTACCGTGCACCATGTATAATAGCTGATTTCCCGGGTAGGGAAAGGCGACACTTAACCACCTAGTGTGAGTCTAAGTGATCACCGTCTATTCTGGTTGAGGTCATGTTATACATTGGATAGTTCCCTTAGGATGTATACAGATATAGTACTCATCCGGATATAATGATAAATTTATTTGATTCTCTGAGTTGGGTCATAGTAGAGAGGACTTGCTCGTGGGGTTGACCCACCATTGTTGTTATTTCAGGATACGGTCAGTACCCGTTCCAAGGTTGAGGTTAGCAGTGTGGGACCACCATCCGAACTCATCTACTCTTACGATCCAGTTCAGGGTAGAAGTTTTACGTATTACTTCAGTTTCAGTTTTTATTTACTTTTGACGTTGAACTCTCAGGTTTATATTTAGGGATCCTTGACATAGGATTTTCAAGTTGTAATGGAGTACTGTATTTAAATAAAGGATGGATGGATGTTGTATTATTTAGTGTTCCTTTCCTGTCTAAATTCTTTTATTAT